GTGTCTGCTTGCCTTTTTTTTAGAGGGGGTGGCCACATTATCCATCAGCACTAGTCAAGTTGTCTATGTATAAACTAAAAGAAAACATGTTGTGTAGATTAGCATGTGATGAACTTTTCTTTTTAATAGTTAAAAGTTAAAATAAATCAGAATGCCTAAGATAAAAAAAAATGTTCTTAAGACTTTTGGTAAAGTATGCTGCTGTGTCTTTGATCGACCAAAGCTCAACGAGAATTCTGAACTAGCATTTGGGAGAGATGAACAGACGAACACCAAGTACGAAGAATATACTAATTTATACTACTGACCTAAACAAATATACTTCAGCCAGATTTTTTAGTTACCGAAAAACAATATAAACACAATTGCTTCAAGTATATGACAATGTGTTTTGTTACACTTTTACTGCAGATGATGTTAACAAATGATTAGAAAAGTTATAATATGTACATAGTCGATTTATGCAGAAATTAAATTTCTTAGAATAACCTGCTGTAGACGATATACAAACCTAACGATAATTACATGTTTTAGAAGCTCTTAACGTCTATATATGTAACTGTTATTCTAATATCTTATAATTTTTTTTTACAATAACCTGCTGTAGACGATATACAAACCTAACGATAATTGCATGTTTTAGAAGCTCTTAACGTCTATATATTGGTATGGCTGTCAATTTTTTTTTGGTTTTTATGATTAAAGGACATGTTAATTAAAAAAAATAATCGTTTAATATTTAATATTTGATATACTGTGTTTATGAGGCTTTTTAATAAAAGTGTTCAATAGTTTTTCGAATGAAAGTGTTTATTTTAGAGTTTTTCAGTCTTTTATAGGATATTTTCAAGTTTTAGGTCGATTTGAGAGAAGAAATCATTTTTTGTGCAAATGAACATAATATAGAGATGTAGAATTATGTAGAAACTCGAAATTAAAGCTAATTTAGAATTCTAAGTTCAAATTAAACGATATTTTAAAATATTAAGTTGTTAGACAAAATAGTTGATAACACAACAATGAATTGATTATACATCTGTGTTTTGAATTCTAGAATGGTTTTTAATTTATTCCCTAAATAATTTTCTGATTCATAATCTCTGAATTTCTACAAATTACCATTGACCTAACGCTTCTTTTAGTTGATTTTTCTACCAATTTTATTTGCTATTTTTGTTTTGCATTACAAACCATAACTATAATCTTATCTTACTTTAGTTTCATTTATTAAAATTTGCATTGCAACATGTGGTCTTTGTAGATTTGACTCCTACTTTACTATAACATTTGCTTTGTACTTACAATAATTCTATATGATTAAAACTCTGTATATTATATATATAAAGTCAATTGTCTATCCCAACTGATTATTCGCCAAGCAATTAATCAGAAGTCTGCCGCCTGTTAATCCGATACCTAGTAAAAATAGTAGCACGCCATTTGATTAATTGCAAAATTCGTTTATGCTTCTAATTAGATTTATGATGGTTATACGAATGTGTGATTTATTTGTATATACAGTTACTAAAAACAATAGATTGTCATTTCCACGACATGTTTTTTCGTCTTAGACTCTTACTACTATACATATATATCCCTAACTCTATACATGTCATTTTGCAAAAACGTAGACGAAACCACTTTAGATAAGGTTCGTTCAAGTGTGTGTATTAATTAATAATTGGGGTTTATCCACGGAAAGTCATGACATTGAAAAACATGGTGGAAGGCTTTAATCAAATCATTTAAAATAATTTTTTTTGCCGTATTATTTTATATTAGGGGACAGATTTCGATGGGTCCGTGATATGGAATCTATATTACAATTTAATAATGATAACCTGACGATTAGATTTAGATGACTTTTTCATTGTGTTTCTTAATACAGTTTGTGTGATTTTGGAAAACACATTTTGTGTTGATAATATTTTGTTTTGCATGCAAAAAATAAATTACCATATATATGCTGCTAAAATAGACGGTAAAAACGTCGAACAATTTGTGTTATCTTTCCTAAAAAAAAAAAGAATTGGGATTCAAAATGCTAAAAGTATTCGTTACAATTATAATTTGTTTATATTCAACTGATTGAGATTTCTAGTCTACTAATTTTCGCTAATGCCGTTGATGTTTAATTGTTCTTATAGCGTTTTATTCTAACCTATATATTCCGTACGTTTCATCTGATACTGCCTCTTTTGCACTATTATTTCGTTGTAACAAAAATTCAAATTGAAATTGGTATTCTGAATCTCTGATAATATGTTCGAAAGATTTGAAATTAGTGTGTATAAAACTATAAATACGTACACGTTAACTATTAGTACAATAATAAAATTGGAATTGAGTTCGGTGAATGTTACGGCTGAATTTGGCAGTAGCAGTACTAAAACAATTCTGTTCAGTCGTTTTCGTTGTCGGGACGAAATGACCTTAAAACAATGATGTGTCTAATATTAATTATCAGAGTCGTCCAGTTTTCAAAGTTCAATTATTTTCTTGTCACTTATTCTGCACGTGTGTTTATGTTTTACACACGTGTCTTAATACTCATATATGTACTTATTCATTGTGATTTTTATCTCGTAATAAAAGTAACAAACTTTATCTATGATTGTGTGCAGAGTATTTGTAAGTGCATGTCATCATGGCGAATGTAGGTAATCGACCTTAAAAATTACTATCCATCCATTTTCAAATTAGGTTTTCTTTTGGGTAAATTTGGTGAATAACCAAAAAAATAAATAAATAAGTAACTAAATGTGTAGAGAGAGATAGGAAGAGATAGAGAGAGAAAAATGGGAAATTAGTTAGTTTGTTGATTAAAGTTTTTTTTGATTAGTGAGCAAATTCTCTCTTTTCTTTTTGATAGTTTTCACACGATTTTTTGTTTACATAAAAATATTATAATATTATCCTCTTATAAAATGAGACCGATTCATCAAATATATATTATACTATTTTACATTTAAATGAATTTAGATAGAAGCATGTATATTATGATGTATTTCTTTATCAAAAATGATATTGAAATCATAAAATGGATTCATTTCAAAATTAACAATATTAATCTAAAATGATATGTATTTTGAAACGAAAAAAATAGTAAATAAAAAGTATTTTTTGTTTGCTGAATTTTAAAGAAAATATTGAAAAGTTCATTTTTAAATTTTCAAATCACAATCTCGGATGTTCTTAATTTTCTTTTAAGGAAATCACAATATAATCAGTGCTCTCATCCTTTTTATTTGAGGTTTAAAATCCACTGTTCCATTTTTTTTGGGATAAAGATTAAGATATAGTTTCATTAGATACATCATACATGTACTTGTAAAACACTAAAATGTAGCTATAGGCTAAACTTTATAAACGAAAACAAGAAAAAGAGAAAAAAAATGAAAGGGAATGGGAATAATTTTAAAGTTTGGTTGAACGAAACCTCACATGGGACACACAGACTCGTAGCTTTAGCTTTGAATTCAAAACGCAATTAATATGTTCCTTCTTCTTACATCTTTCTGTCACTTTTTCTTCCACTTCTTCTTTCCTCTTTTCTAGGTTTTGTCTCTTTTCTTTTCTTTTTCTTGTTGACAAAAATTGAAAGATCTTACTTCTTTTTCTTGTCAACATGAAAGATTTTCTAAAATTTTTTCTTGATAACACCATGGAATATCTTTCTTAATTTGATTAGGTTTTGTTTTTTGTCAAAAGTCTTTGATCCTCATGTCGGAAACAATTTTTGTAGACCCTTAGGTTTCCATCTGTAACCATAATTACATACACCTACTAATATATCTTAGTTAAAATTGATATCCTTTACAATGAACCATTTGATTCACACGAGATCTCTTCATTTTGACTGAGATAAGAATGTAACTCAGTTATTTACTTTACTCCTATAATATCATTCAAGACACTCTTACTTAATTTTTTTTTGTATAAATATATAGATCAATATAAACTTGACTACTGATGAGCCGGCTACCATTTTGCGTGAATTGGGCCTAACCATTCTTTACGAAGAGTAGTACCCAGATACTATTAGTTCTGGCCCTAATATTAATCCACACCACATTTGTTTTACTTTTTAAAAACCGGTTCGACTCGTTTTTGGTCGGAGTACAAGTTTAAAACCGATCCAGCAGTAAGAGTATGAGTATGCAAACTATGTTTTAGTCATTTCAATATGATCAAGACCTATTGTTGAACTATAATGCTACTATGCTAGATACTTCTTTTTCATAAATCTAGGTGGTAACTGGTAAATAGTAGCAGAGGAGCAAACGACCTAACTGATGTGAAAAAAGAATTTAGACTAGCTGTCAGCCAAGTGGTTTACCAAATAGATGGTTATCGACTTATCGTGTTAACTATAAACAGATTTATCGTAATTTGAAATCAATTTGGAATCTAATATATAAACTCAAAGAGAAAAATAGAAAAACATATTTTTTTTCTTCTTTTTGATCAAAATATAGAGTTTAAAGGTCGACCTTACAACCCAACTGGACAATGATTTTTTTTCTTTTTGGAGTTAGAACTAGTCATAGGGTTTTCAAAATACTATAATCATACAACTCCACTCACTATATATAACCATACTAAATAACCGAACATGTAGCAGATTTGCTGAGACCGGCCGGATCGGTTCAGATTTAAACACATTATTGTTGTCAATTGTCATATCTTACATTTATCTTTACTTTCTTGTTTTGTTTGTTCCCATCCGTTTCTTGGATAGAGAAGCTAGCTGGACCCTTGTCTTATACTTCTATTGGGATAAATAACTAATTAAAAAGATAATGTCACATGCAATGGTTTCCAAAATAGATGCAATCAAGCTAGATACCGAACAAAATAAAAGAGAGCCAATAATAGAACAAATACAAAAGCAAGGTTTTATGTCATTTTAATATATAAACGACAGAGACAACACATCACCACTTTCAACGGTGCAAGGACATATGCTTCAGTAATAATAAATACGTATCTTGTATTATATGTATCAGGTACAAAATCAAGAATTAAGCTGCCCCATTTGAGTCTAAGCTTACTCGAAGTCTCAATATCTCCTTGAAGTCTTCTGTTTCTCCTCTAATGGCTTTGATAAGCTTACTTGAAGTCTCCATTTCTTTCCTTTGTTTTGCCTTTCTCTTTGGATATTTCTTGATTAGCAAGAAACCTCACCGTTCGTTTCCTACGAAATGGCCGTTCCTCGGTATGCTTCCAGGTCTACTCGTAGAGATCCCTCGTGTTTACGACTATATAACCGAGGTTCTCGAGGCCTCAAACTTAACTTTTCCTTTCAAAGGGCCATGTTTCGGAGGCCTTGACATGTTGATCACCGTTGATCCAGCTAATATTCATCACATCATGAGCTCAAACTTTACGAATTACCCGAAAGGATCCGAGTTCAAGAAGATATTCGATGTTTTGGGAGATGGGATTTTCAACGCGGATTCTGATTTATGGAAGGATCTGAGGAAATCAGCTCAAAGCATGATGAGTCATCAGGAGTTTCAAAGGTTTACACTAAGAACAAGCATGAGTAAGCTAGAGAAAGGACTTGTCCCACTTCTTGATCACGTTGCTGAGAAGAAACTAGTCGTTGACTTACAAGATGTGTTCCAAAGATTCACGTTCGACACTACGTTTGTTTTAGCGACCGGGATTGATCCAGGTTGTCTCTCTGTTGAAATGCCGGAAATCGAGTTTGCTAAAGCTTTAGACGAAGCAGAGGAAGCAGTTTTCTTCAGGCATGTCAAGCCGGAGATGGTTTGGAAGATGCAAAGGTTGATTGGGTTTGGAGATGAGTTGAAACTGAAAAGAGCTCACTCAACTTTCGATCGAGTTTGCTCTAAGTGCATAAATACTAAGAGAGATGAAACAACCCGTGGCATTATCGACATTGACTCTTCTTCTAAAGATTTGTTGATGTCTTATTTGGATGTGGATACCACCAAGTACAAGTTGTTGAATCCGAGTGATGACAAATTCCTCAGAGACATGATTTTAAGCTTCATGTTAGCAGGTAGAGACACCACAGGCTCCGCTCTCACTTGGTTCTTCTGGCTTCTGTCCAAGAACCCGCAAGCAGCGACCAAGATTCGTCAAGAAATCAATACAATTCTACCTCCAAGAACCGATAATGATTCATTCCATCCCCAAGAGTTAAACAAGTTGGTGTATTTACATGGCGCTTTGTATGAAGCCCTCAGGCTATATCCACCGGTTCCATTTCAGCACAAGTCTCCTACAAAACCGGACGTTGTTCCCAGTGGACACAGAGTCGATGTAAGTTCAAAGATTGTGTTTTGTCTTTACTCATTAGGGAGAATGAAATCGGTTTGGGGAGAAGATGCATCGGAATTTAAACCGGAGAGATGGATCTCGGAGAGTGGAAGGTTGATACATGTGCCATCATTTAAGTTCTTATCTTTCAACGCTGGTCCAAGGACTTGTTTGGGGAAAGAAGTGGCCATGACTCAGATGAAGTCAGTGGCTGTGAAAATCATACAAAACTATGACATGAAGGTCGTTGAGGGACACAAGATTGAGCCAGTTCCTTCTGTTATTCTTCACATGAAGCATGGTCTTAAAGTACTAGTCACTAAGAGATGTAATTTGGTCTGAATATTATGCAATACGTTTCTACTATATTATTTGGAAATGATGATTAGAATTCTATAAAATATTGTAGTATATAGTACCAGAAAAAAATGATAAAATGTGAGATGTTTTCTATCTTTTAATTAGATAAGTATTAAAATTTTGTGTTTACAATTTTCAGTAAGGAACCATTTGTCAGCAATAAGTAAAATTTAAGCTTTGAGTATATCTTGTTATCAATTTTTTTCTTTTCTTTTAAACATATCTCTACTAGATTTACTTAGTTAAAATTCTTATCTTGTCTCAGACAGTCAGACTCAAAAACTATCATGAACTAAATTCAGAACAGTAGTCTTGAGATTCTTGACACGTTTCAACATTTTATAAGTCATAAAACTGGCACACGCAGGTTTTTCTATGATATGCTTACAACTAACTATTAAAGGAAATATGGTTTTAGTAAGATTTGTTTTCTTCCAATTTTTAATTCTACTAAAGGTAATAAGAGTTATCCATTACAAAAATGTTGACAGTCATAATTTCGGTGCTATATATTTAGGGATTTCTTGGTCTGTATGATTTAGTTAATTTGGACATCCAGTCAAAATCTTGTATTATTCGTTCAAAATTTATAAATACGAATTATATTGTGGTGTTTGATTCAGCACATTGTCAAAAAAAAAAAAAAAAAAAAAAAAAATTCTAAGACCTTATGGATTATTTTTTGCTAATTGTATCTTTCCTCATCTTCGTCATCTTTTCTCTAAAACATTTGGTCGGTATATGGCAGAGCAAGCATAACCTACCCCCAACTCCGGCGGGGTCATTGCCGGTGATTGGACACCTCCACCTCCTCAAACCGCCGCTCCACCGCACATTACACTCTCTTTCTCAATCCCTCGGTGGTGCTCCAATTTTCCGTCTCCACCTTGGCAACCGTGTTGCATTTGTCGTCTCATCCTTCTCTCTCGCCGAAGAATGCTTTACCAAGAACGACATCGTTTTGGCCGATCGACCGAAATTCACTTTCGGGAGACTCGTTGAGTACAACTGCACCACAATGGCCACCACGTCTTATGGTGACCATTGGCGGAATCTGCGCCGTATTGGCGCTATCGAGATCTTCTCGTCTCATAGACTCGATAGCTTCTTATCTATCCGTAAGGATGAGATCCGACACTTAGTATCGTGTCTCTCCAAAAACTCGCTAGATGTAAGTGTATTGTATTAATATGTGTATATTTTGTCATATCAAGATTCATAGTTTTCTTGTCAAAAGTAATTTCCGATTTAGGTATTAGTTCTTGTATGCTAGATTAGGTTCAAATTCTTGTATGCTAGATTAGGTTCAAACTTATTGTTGATGTGAGATCTTGCTTCAAGATTTTTAGATTTCCAAATTGCCAATGAGTGGAATTGTCTATTTTTATTTAGAGATTAAAGTAACTTAATTTTAAAGGCTTTGCCTAACCATTTGTTTATGTGATAATAATTCAGGGGTTTGCAAAGGTGGAGTTGAGATCATTGTTTGGGAACTTTAATATTAATAACATCCTCAGGATGATAGCCGGAAAACGATTCTACGGAGATGGAGCAGAGCAAGACGAAGACGATGCAAAACGCGTGAGGCAGTTGCTTGACGAAGCGGTATCAAGTGCTGGTGTAGGACACGCTTCTGACTATGTTCCGTTCCTGCGTTGGGTTACCAGCTATGAGAAAGGGGTCAAGAAGTTGGCGGTTAGGGTCGATGAGTTTCTTCAAGGGCTTGTGGATGAGAAACGTGCGCAAAAAGAAAAGGGTAACACTATGATTGATCACTTGCTTTCTCTCCAAGAAACCCAACCTGATTACTACACGGATATCACCGTCAAAGGACTCATAGTTGTAAGTATCTATTTGATACATCATTAAAACACTAACTAAGGTTTATATAATGACTAATTCTTGATTTTTATTTGGATATAGGTTATGATATTCGCTGGAAATGTAACATTAACAAGAACATTAGAATGGGCGATGCTGAATTTGTTAAACCATCCAGAAGTTCTAAAGAAAGCGAGGATCGAAATCGATACCAAAATTGGTTTAGACCGGTTAGTAGATGAACCGGATGCTAAAAATCTTCCTTACCTCCAATGCATTATATCAGAGATTTTTCGGCTTTACCCGGCAGCTCCGTTACTTGCTCCACATAGGGCAACCGATGATTGTACAGTTGGAGGCTACGACTTCCCTCGTGGCACTACGTTGATTGCAAACGTATGGGCCATTCATCGAGACCCAAGTATATGGGAAGAGCCAGAAAAGTTCAAGCCGGAGCGGTTCGAGAAGAAAGGAGAAGATCAGAAGTTGATGCCGTTTGGGATGGGACGACGAGCTTGTCCCGGGTCTGGGCTAGCTCAAAGGGTAGTGAGTTTGGCTCTTGGATCGTTGATTCAATGTTTTGAATGGGAGAGAGTTGGAGAAGAATATGTTGACATTAGTGAAGCAACCACAATGCGTCCAGCGACACCGTTGCTAGCCATGTGTAGAGCTCGTCCCATTGTCCATACGATTCTCACTTCTCAGTGATTCTTTTTGAGATGTAATTCCCTTTTCTTTTGCTTTTATATCCATTTTTGAAATATGGCTGTTGTAATGAAAAATGTCTTTGGAATGTAATGGTAAAGACAAAGACAAAGATGTTATTTAAGTTTTAAAATATATCTTGCTATTATTTCTTTTCGATATATCTACTAGATTTAAAAACATGAAAAATGTCTTCGAAATGTAATGGTAAGACAAAGACAAAGACAAATTATTTAAGTTTTATAAAAAATATGTTGCTATAATTCCTTTTCAATATATCTATTAGAATTACTATGGTTAGTTTTCTAACGTGATGGAGACTCTAAAATTACATGAATTAAAACATTGGCGTATCTTTATTCATGTGATTCTACCGAATAGATACCATTAACAATACTAATTCTGTGGAATGTATACCATTCAAAATATTATATATAGAATGATAAAACATGAAAATCAATAAACTATTATTGAACTTCACATGTTTTAAAATTATAATTATTATAAATAAAAAGTTATTTTCTTGGCTATTTATTTATCACATGTTTAAAAGCTATTTTTGAATTTATCTCACATGTTTTAAAGTTATAAACTTTTTATTTATAATAATCTCTCTGAAAGTTCAAAACAAAAATCGAATGGAAAAAAGAAGATGTTTGGAAAGGAAAAATATATTATATATACAACCGAGAAGCCATATTTCACATGAGCCAAAACATAAGAGAGAAATTGTTGGGTAAACACAAGCAAGTGGAGATGTTGTGTATTTGAATGAAAGATAATGGGCAGAACAGAAAGCGTTCCATTGTATTTAGGGATACTTGCAAAAATGACCTAAAATTTGATTTGAATTGCAAATCTAACCCACAAAAATCACCTTCCCAATATTTGCCATTTTGTGTCCAAACAATCTTTCATAGTTTCAGTTATTCACGAAATTGCCATTGTCTTTAATTAATTTTATTTATTTTCGGAAATTCAATTGACCAACTAATCCTCATCTTCCTCACTTATTTACGAAAATATCATCATCATCAATTCACCCAACCACCATTTCAACCAATTTCGAAGCTTTAATGGTGGCAAAAACCCATTTTTGAGTTTGTTGAGCTCATTATTTTCCCTTTAAGCTTCTATTCTTCCATTTCCTCTCTATTTTCTTTCCAAAAACTCTATAATTTGTCTATTAAAAAGTTGAAGTTCATAAAAATTTCTATATTCCGGCGATTTGGTTGTTTCTTGCGGTTGTGCTTCTTTCATTGTGGCTAGGATTGAAGATATTGACCAGAAAAGAAGCTAAAGGCGAGTGGTAAGTCAGATTTTCAGTCAATTTTGGTATTTTTCAGTTCTGGGCTCCGAAAGTAGACTTCACTCGGTCCGAATGAAGTCTACTAGTCAACGCCCAGGTTAGTTTTGCAATTGACCGCATGAAAAAGTAGACTTCTTTTGGTCCGAATGAAGTCTACTCCATTTCCTTTGATAACAAAAAAAATGGAGTAGACTTCTCGAGTAGACTTCTTTAGAAGCAGGTCATTTTTGCAATTGACCAATCTTTGACTTTTCAGAGTAGACTTCTCTATGAAAAGTAGACTTCTCGGAGAAGTCTACTTTTCATAGAGAAGTCTACTAATATTTTGGCAATTGCAAAACTAACCTGCGAGAAGTCTACTTTTATCTGAGAAGTCTACTTTTCTTGTTTTTAAAAAAAAAATCATTTATATACAATATATAACGAATTTTTATGATTTTCGTGATCCTAAGCTTCTGTTATTAAGTTTTCTTGCTTATGTATAAGTTTTGCATGTTTATATTTTATAGGTATAGTCGAATGAGTTTTCATGTTTTATATGATACTTAGCTTATTAAGAGTAGACTTCTTAGTCTACTATAGAAGTCTACTAAGTAGACTTCATTCGACTTACCGAGAAGTCTACTTATGCAACGTTGATGTCTAATGTGGTTTGGATTTGGTTTTTTTTTCACAGAGAATAGTTCACATACCCGCTGTTTATGGAGAACGGGTTAAGACTGATTGGCAGTTCGAGGTGGATAATAACAAAGGAGGGCGGATGTTGTTCTTAAGAGATGGTTGCACACATGTTGAGCTTCTTGGAATGGTGCAAGAGGATTATATGCTGGAAAAGGAAACAAAGGTGGAGTTATCCTATCCCTTACCACCTCAGATGCTTCAACAAATGCCTCCTGATTCTCCGCCTATGTATGTCACAAATGATAGACATGTTCAGAGCTTGATTGAGTTAAGTAAGATGCATGGTGTTCGCCTTTGTGTTTCGAGTAGGATAGTGGACCATGAGAATGATGATGTGGATGGACATGCAGATACGTGCTCTGATGCTGAAGAAGATTGGGATGAAGACGCTGAAGATTGGGATGAAAACGTTAAAAATGAGGATGAAGCTGATAGTTTGAATGAAGATGAAGTTAATCAGAATATGAAAGAAAAGTATGATGACTCAGATGTGGATTACAGTGAGTACGGGAAAGTTAAAGATGAGGATGAAGTTGAGGGTGTAAGAGAGCGTTGTGGTGGTTTTGATCGACTGGATAGTAGTTGGTCGTCTAAAATCTTTGTTAATCAGAGTTTTCCTAGCAAGGAGAAGCTTGTATCTGAGTTGCGATTGATGGCAGTTATGAAGAGATTTGCTTTCAAAGTATATAAGTCTACAACGTCTTTGTTTGTAGCAAAATGTTCAGTCAAAGGATGCATTTGGATGGTTAGAGCGGGTGTGAAGAACGAAGCAAACACATTCTGGGTGACAAAGTATCTGAAAGATCATACTTGTTCTGTGATAGACCGGTCAGCTCATCGTAGACGTTGTACACCTAAGTACATTGGGGCTCTGTTTGTGGAACGAGTTGGCATAATCGATGGAATTGTGCCAAAGCATATCAGAGATTCTATGAAGGTGATGTTTGGTCTAAACCTCAGTTACACCACATCTTATAGAGCTTTGATATATGCCCAACAATTGGTGAGAGGAACAGCAGAAGATGGATATGAGAAGCTGCCTTCTTATTTGCGTCAAATTGAGAGAGCTAATCCGGGAAGTGTCACAGACCTTATATGCAATGAGATGGATCGATTTAAGTACCTGTTTATTTCATTTGGAGCTTCCATAGCTGGTTTTCAGTACTTGAGGCGAGTGATTGTTGTAGATGGGACTCATCTAACTGGGAAGTATGGAGGTGTTTTGCTAGTGGCAGCCGCACAGGATGGTAACTTTCAGATATTTCCTTTGGCTTTTGGAATTGTGGATTCTGAGTGTAATGATTCATGGAATTGGTTTTTCACCAAATTGAGTAGATGTTTCTCAGATGGGTATCCGCTTGTCCTAGTTTCTGACCGGCACGACTCCATAGCTGATGCATTTAAGAATGTCATACCATGGGCAACACGAGGTATATGTTACTATCATCTGCAGCAAAACATTGTGACTAAGTTTCACGGGAAGCAACTCATGTACTTGGTGAAAGGTGCTGCATATGCACATACGACTTACGATTATAATCGATACATGGACGCAATCCGAGAGGTAAACCCCAGACTTGCTCAATATTTGGAGACTGCGGACCCGAGGTTATGGTCACGAGTCCATTTCCCGGGAGACAGGTACAACATAAAGACTAGCAACATCGCATAATCGATCAATGCGGCTGTTAAGGAAGCCAAAGGGTTTCCCATCACATTTCTGTTAAAGTTTATAAGAACAAAGCTCGGGAGATGGTATCATAAAAGGCGTGAAGATGCTCTAAGTCTCACAACGAGCCATACCCGTGGAGTAGAGTATCTATTGGCAATTCGAGAATATGAGGCAGGAGATTTGAAGGCAGAACCCATTGATGGCTGGCGTTTCTTTGTTAAAGGTGGAGCACGAGATTGTATTGTTGATTTGCAACAAAGGAAGTGTTCTTGTGGTGTGTATGATGTTGAAAAAATCCCTTGCTCACATGTTATTGCAGCGGCAGAAGAGGCCAACGTGAAACTGTCAACACTTGTGTGTCCATCTTACTCACGGGAATCCTTATATGCGGCCTACTCCCATCCCATTAACCCGCCTATTTCTGATGAAAATGATGTCAAGAAGGAACCATGTGGTGTTCCAGTCATGAAGATTCCTCCTGGAAGAAAGAAAAAATCTAGATGGCAAACTTGGCTAGAAATATCTAGGAAGAAAAGCACAAGACCAAGAAAGATGCATAAGCAATACAGTTGCTCCAAGTGCAAGTAACCTGGTCATACTCGCCCCTATTGTGTAAGTTAATATTTACATTGTACTTAGTGTGTTTTGTTTTATCTCATGCTAAGTCGTTATGTAGTCTAACTTCAATAAAATCATATGTAGAGATTCGATGATGGTGCTGATTGAATCTGAACAAGTCGAGAAGTCTACTTGACACAAGAGAAGTCTACTAGGTTGTCAAGATATTTAATATAAATGGGGGGGAAATGTCCCTCTGAATCATCATTAAGTTATGTATTATTATTGTCTTTAAGAAGTCTACTCGAGTCTAGAGAAGTCTACTTGATAAGAAGTCTACTCGTGACACGAGAAGTCTACTCGGTTGTCAAAATATGTAATATAAATGGGGGAAATGTCCCTCTGAATCATCATTAACTTATGTATTATTATTGTCTTTAAGAAGTCTACTCGAGTCTAGAGAAGTCTACTTGATAAGAAGTCTACTCGTGACACGAGAAGTCTACTCGGTTGTGAAGATATGTAATATAAATGGGGGAAATATCCCTCTGAATCATCATTAACTGATGTATTATTATTGTCTTTAAGAAGTCTACTCCAGTCTAGAGAAGTCTACTTGATAAGAAGTCTACTCGTGACACGAGAAGTCTACTCGGTTGTGAAGATATGTAATATAAATGGGGGAAATATTTTGCAATTGCAGTAGGTCAATTGACTGTAATTTAACCTACAGTTACATATTCTGTTCTTTGACGGGTTACACCAAAAACTTTCTAACCACAT